TATATATATATATATATATATATATATATATATATATATATATATATAAACAGTCAAACTTGTTCACGTGATCTAGTTCTTTGTTTTTTAGGTTTTGGTGGGAAGCCGATGGCGTTTTCACGCAGCAGCAGCAGAACGAGCTTCTGAAAGCGTCTCTGTCTCGGGTTATCTGTGATAACACCGACATACAGGAAGTCCCTCCTGATTCCTTCAAATTTGGGAACTATCCAGCCGATTATGTCGAGTGTGGTGCGATCCCATTGATGAGCCTGGACGCTTGGAGAGAGGAGAGGAGTCGGGGTAAAACTGAAAGACACTTTGTGTTTAAAAGAAAAAAAATTAATTCTGTTGCACAAAATATTCACAAACTTTTGTTGCTCACTTTCAGACCTAGAGCTCTGTGGCTTGCCAAGACCAATAAAAAATGGAGATTTCATATTTTCATCCCAATCTGGCATACTGACCGCTCTCTACTCCTGTTACCATGGCTTCAAATTAGAGGGAGCTGCTGAAATCATTTGTGAAGGAAATCAGTGGAGTAATGAAGCCCCTCGGTGCACATGTGAGTGAATGTTCTCGATTTGTTTCGTCCGGTCTGTTTGCAGCACCGACAGAGTGGAGCTGTTTAACATTAAGGACAGATTCCACCGCTGGCTGATTAGTGCTGAATCCTCGGTGATTGAAGTGCTTCGCTCTGAAACAAACTGTTTGATGGAGGCCAGGCGACTCTGGTTTCCAGTGCTGTTCTCTTTGAGTGGGACTTCACTGCTATCTGCTGGTGTAACGGAGGACAACCAAAGAGCCAGAGTCGATACGTATGTGCAATCAAGAAACTAAAAAATGTGGTGCCCAAACACTAGAATTTAGGGTTTATTTGCATTCAGTTGTTTGTTGGGAAATCAAGACAGTGCAACTGCACTACAGTTAAAGTTAATCTAAACTAGTATTTGTACGTTTTCTGGGTATAACTATTTGTGTGAACGCTTATGAAGCATTCACTCTGTTGTGATCAATTTTTCTTCCGTACATGTTTGGCATCTTTCTCGTTCCACAATTTTTGTGCTATTTCAACAAATCGTAAATCCAAATTTTCAGCTTGTTCAGGACAATTCGGTTATGACTTTTGGTATTGGTGCAACTTCAGCTTTTTGAAATATTTAGCTTTTTCTACCAATTTTTTTTTTCTCAGGAAGTGAATTGAGCTCATTTTACAGTCTTCAAAATCTTTAGATCTGTTTACAGCTTTTTACTGCTCCTTTCACATTGTATGCTGGTTCAGATTCTTTGTGCAAATTTAAACTTTTTTTTTCAGCTACTTTATGCAGTTTTTTTTATTTATTTTTTCATCTATTTAGCGCTCTTTTTAGATTATTTCTTCTAACTGCAACATTTTTGTGTTTCTAACTTTCTGGTAATTTCAACTCGTTATGCTCTTTTCAGCTAATTGCTGCTAGTTTCTGCATTTTCTGCTATTTCAGCTACTATTTCCCTGTTTTATGTTAATTTTAGCCTTTTCAGTTAATTCCACATTGTTCTCACTCATTAAAAAAATGTTCAGCCTAATTCAGCAAAAATGTGCTCTCTCCGCTTTCTTCGGGTAGTTAAGCTTCGTCCTACCTTTTCAGCAACTTTTCAGCTGAATTTTTTCCAATTTAATCTTTTTTCAGATAATTTCCACTTTTTGTACTAATTTCTGCTTATTTCAGCTTAAATTAACTTCTTTATCCTAATTTCAGCTTGCTTTGCTTCTTTCAGCTTTTTTCCTGCTAGTTTCAGATTTTTCCTGCTATTTCAGCTAGATGTTTTGGGGCTAATTGTAGCTTTTTCACTTAATTACATATTTTCTTTTAGCTCATTCCACTTCCTTCTGGTAGTTTAAGCTTCTTTTTGCTCTTTCAACTACTTTTCAGCTATTGTTTGCTAATTTCAGCATTTTTAGCTAATTTCCTAATTTTTGCATTCATTTCTGTTCACTTAAACCTAATTCAGCAAATACATGTTCTTTCTGCTTTCTTCTGCTAATTTGTTTGGACTTGTTACTCAATTTCCGCTACATTTCAGCAAACAATCCTGATGCATGCTCAAGTTCTTAGCAATAAGCATTCACACTGCATTTTCACAGGAAATACTTTCTATCTAGTTATAATTTAACAATGATTAGAAAATACTTTCACCACTTCTTTAGGGCATCTTCCTTTCAGGCTGAAAAATAATAAAACCTGTGTCACAAAATGTGTCTTATGTTGTTGGTAGATGTAATGTATTTGTAAGATTTCATCACTTCAAGAATTTGATGTTGAGATGAGAAAAGAATTGTTTTGGCAATTAATACAAAAACTGAATTGCTTCACTTGTACCGGTTTTGTGTTGTATTTTTCCACTTATTCCTCTGGGGAACATCTGAGTGTTTCAATAAACTCAACCAGGGAATAAAACCCTTCAGCAGGAAACACTGAACTGGTAACAGATGGGGTGAAGTCAAATGCACCGAAGGAGCTTTAAATGACACTTTTATGAGAATTCTTTTGGCAAAGAAAAAGTTTATTTTCATACTGATATTTTTAAAAGCAATGTTTCCCAAATATTTTAGCTATGGATGCACAATATAAAATATTTAAAAAATTATAAACCAACTAGAACTGCGAGCAGTTATCACCAGGGTCCAAGCCTTGATGCATGCCTACCCTTGCTAATCTCATCCCCAGCACTCATTCAACCTACAGACCTATATGATGAGGAGAAAATTTAAGGTCTATATAAGGACCTAAGGTATCAGCAGCTTTTCCAAAGTTGAAATAGTATTTTTTTCTTCTTTAAGCTCGTCCATGTTCAGGGGACGCCACAGCGATCCACCTCTACCTCAATCTGTCCGCATACCAACTACCTCCATGTCCTCTCTCACTGCATCCATATATCTCCTGTCTTTTTCCTGGCAGCTGCATTTCTGACGTTCTTCTACCAATATAACTACTGTCCCTCCTCTGGACACATCCAAAGTAATGAGATGATAAATTTGTTCATCATTCAAAATGCTAAAAAGAAAGCAGTAAACTGTTACAAAATACAGCTTGTCATTTGAGTGAACTGATTAGATTGTTGAATATATTTGTGTGGGGTGTAACTGGTGACAAATTTACATTTAATTCAGAAATAATTCATTGTAACGACTACAAGATTGCTTCTGGAGTAGAAAAGTTCCTGTGGAGACAAAAGCTTAATGTTGGGAACAATCCAGCGCAGAAACCTTCAAGACGTCCTCCTGCTTCACGTAAAACAGTTTATTTGTATGTGTGCATGTAGAAAGAAGTGTTTGTGCTATTTGTGCTTCAATTTCATCACTGGTATTTGACAGTATGTTAACTCGGTGATCACTTTCTATAACAAACGTAAAAAACTTGGTTACACCTGGTTGTGGGCTGGATCACAACAGCTAAAGTGAAATAACGCAGAATATTGAATAATTAGGGGTTTTCCCTGGGGGTGTTTGTAAAATGTTTTATTTTTCTAAATCTTCTTGCAAAGCAGGTTTTGTGCCGCAAGTGGGACACTGTTTCTTTGAAGCTGCATGAACGCGTAAAAGTGTTGAGCATCATAATTTAAAGGCGTAAATGTCTAAAATGGTTTGCATGAATCAAGGTGTAGTGAGTCATAAAGGAAATTTAATCTGGTGTCAACGAGTTTACTTTTGTCCGGTAGGTGTCACCTTTAGCACGTCGTATAGTCAGTTTCTAAGATTATTATGCAAACCCCACAGATGGGACAGATGTCTGTAGACTTGTGATGTTTCAAGTTCCCATAAGTTTGAACAAAAAAAATATGGAACGAAATCACAAGAAAAAAGTCATAAAATGGTTTTTAAATTAATGTGTTTTTCCCCCATTTCGTAATGAAAGTATAAAACTAATTGAAGTAATTTTTATTTTTAAAAAAAAAGGGAAAAAAAAGAAAAAGATTGAAGAGGTTACAACATTTTTGTTTAAGGTCATTTTCTTTCTTTTAAGAGTAACGATGCCTCCAGGAGAGCTGTTCAGCTGCAGCTGAAAACTCCAATAATCCCCTGAATCAGGCTTCAAATACCAGCCAGGTTTAACTGGACATGTCAGTGACGTTAGAGGCAAAACTGGATGCAAGGAGAAAAGGACAAACTATTTCCTCTTCTGATTGTAAAGTTGAATATGGGGGGGGGGGGGGGGGAGCTTGGGGGCTGACAGTGATGCAGCACGATTATTAGGAGTGTGGTATGTGTTTGAGGAGTGGCTGTGGGAACATTTCTCAGCCTTTGGTGCCTCTGTATGAATAAGTGGGCCAGCAAAGACTAAAGAAAAACCACCTCCTGGTTTGTGCAGCTTCTCTGCAATTCTAATACTTCTTATTTATACGCGTTCATGACCAAAATGCACTTCTATTAGAGCCTTTGTCTACAACAGGTCCATCTTATTTTTTACTCTATATTCAGTATTTACACGATAGTAGGATTTTGGCAAAACCAATGAGACCTAATGGAACCCATTCCTAAAAAGGCATTGGGATGATTTACCTTATACATGATTCCATTAGATAAAGTTATTAAACAGCATGGGATAAATTTTCATTGTTATGTTGATGATACTCAGTTATATTTTTCCATGAAACTCGATGAATCCAGTCAGTTACTTAGATTACAAGCATATCAAATTTTATATGGCACCTTGATTTGATTATTGTAACACTACTTTTTATTTAAATCGCTTTTTATTGTTGATTTGTCCGTAATTTATTTGTCTAAAACAGGACTTGCTTGAGAATGAGTCATTGTGACTCATTGTGACTAACCTGTATAAATAAAGGTTGAATGGACGAATGTTTTAAAGACTTAAAAACCTGGATGACCCTTAAATTTCTGCATTTAAACTCAGACAAGACAGAGGTTGTGATTTTTGGACATGATCATCTTAGGAATAAATTTAGCAGCACTTCACTTTCTCTGGATGACATTAATTTTGCCTCCAGAAACATCGTGTTCAAAAATGATGCAGAAAAACTGGTCCACGTGTTTAGGCTGGACTATTGTAATTGTTTATTATTTGGCTGTCCAAAAACTTTGAATGTTTTCATTTGCTGCCAGAGTTTTAATGAGAGTCGGTTGGAGAGATCATATCTCTCCAGTTTTAACTTCTCTCCCTGTCAAATTCAAAATAGAATTCAAAATCTTACTTCTAACCTACAAAGCTCTCAACACCCTAGCTCCATCTATTACAGATCTTAATGTTCCATATGTTCCTAACAGAACACTTTGCTGTCAGACTGCAGGTTTACTTGTGGTTCATAAAGGCAGAGTGTGAGGCAGAGCTGTCATTTATCAGGCTCCTCTCTTGTGGAACCAACTTCTAGTTTCTGTCTGTGAGGCTGACACATTGTCTACTTTAAAGATTAGCTTTAAGTCTTTCCTTTTTGATAAATCTTATAGTTAAGGTTGGCTTGGATTTCCTGAGCTATCCCTTAGTTATGCTGCTATAGGCTTACACTGCTGGAAGACAAATTAACTATCTATCCTTAACGTGCTGTTTGTTTTTCTTCCAATATAAAGTGCA